TGTGTAGGTTTGTGTGCGCGTGTGTGTAGGTGTGTGTGTGTGTGTGTGTGTGTAGGTTTGTGTGCGCGTGTGTGTAGGTGTGTGTGTGCGTATGTGTAGGTGTATGTGCGTACGTGCGTGCACACGTATGTTGGAGTGTGTGTGTGTGCGTGCGTGCACACGTATGTTGGAGTGTGTGTGCGTGCACACGTATGTTGGAGTGTGTGTGCGTGCACACGTATGTTGGAGTGTGTGTGCGTGCGTGCGTGCACACGTATGTTGGAGTGTGTGTGTGTGTGTGCGTGCACACGTATGTTGGAGTGTGTGTGCGTGCACACGTATGTTGGAGTGTGTGTGTGTAGGTATTGTGTAGGTGTGTGTGCGTGTATGCAATGTATGTTTTTGTGTGTGCATGCACATATGAATGTGTGAATGTGTGTGTGCATGCACGTGTGAATGTATGTGTGTGTGTGTGTGCGCGTGCGTGTTTCTGTGCGTGCATGCACGTGTGAATGTATGTGTAAATGTGTGTGTGCGCTCGGTGTGTGATAGCACGCCCCCCCCCCAACCTACAGCATGGCAGGGATGCGCTGCTACCTACTAACCCGTGTATAACTAACTCTGTGGTTCTACGCCTCGTTTACTGCTTCTGAGTTAGATGCATCTTCCGCGATACCGGCGGTGTTATCGCCTCCAGGGGGCGCTGTGGCGTGGATAGTCATCCGGAGTTGAGCATGAGTCTGAAGAGGGCGTTGCGAACCATGTTGCCGCTGACGAAGCGCATCGCCGGTCGTCCGAGCATCTGCGGAAAGACAAGAGAACGTCGTGTCGGCGACCTCGCCACCAGGGGGCGGAGGGGGGTCACGTGTGACGCGCGAACGTAACTGTTTTGCCGTTTTTGACGTGAAATACGAGCAGCAATAATGACAGATATTCAGATATTCGCGTAATGGGTAATGGTATGGGTAATGCAGAGATGCCAACCACTACGATTTATCCGTATTTTATACAAATTTCTATTCCTTTTGCACCACTACGACCAGTTTGTATCAAACTACGAATTTCACTGTGATCAAAAAAATTTTGGTTGTCAATTATTGTCATTTTTTGTCAATTTATTGTCATTTTTGACCCTCCGAATGCAGGAAATTGCATCTCAGAATCAAACATTTTTCCGGGGGGGCATGCCGGACTCCCCTAGCAAACTCGGGTCAGTACGTGACCCTCGAACTACTAATTTGATGGCCAGAAACTACAGATTGTTTCAAATATGTGTTGGCATCTCTGGTAATGGTGTAAGGTTGTCGTGACCGTATAGTAGAGGAATGTATTAAATAATGTGAATAATAATGTTTCCATAAAATAAGCCACATATCAGCAGCTTGACTGGTTGCTACAACACTAGTTTAAAAACAGTTCATCAGGTAAGCGCAAGCATTCAAATAACCTCAACCAGGTAACTGACAAACAAGCGAACATCACCGCGCCCCCTTCGCGAACCTCCTACCTTGAACAGGTAACTGCGATGGTCGGAGAACAAGCGAACAGTGAGCCGCGCCCGCTCTGCTCCGCCGGTGCCTGCCGGCAGCTGCTGGACACGGAACTCGACGGTGGCGGGGAGGACCGCGGAATCGGTGCTCAACGTCAGCGAGTCGGGCGGAGAGAAAGACAGCAGCGCCACCGTCACGTGGTGCTCCCCTAGTCGTGGCGCGGGCGGAAAGGAAACGACGCGAGGTTACCGAATCGACAACGTTGGTTGAATCGCGGCGCCGTTTGCCTGACGACGACGATTGAGTTAAAATGCGCGGTGGGCGATGTCGCTATTTTATACACGCAAAGTTCGTCATCTCGGCATCTTTGTACATTCTAAGATTAGCACGTGAGAATTTCTTTGATTAAGTATGTAAGGAGCTTACAATAAAGAGCATTCGTGGGCACGCGTGAATGCGCGTACGGGGGACAGACTTACAGCCGACGGGGGTCGTGAAAACGACGTTGTATTGCTTTCCCGCTTTTATCGGTGAGGTGTCAACTTCATCCACGTCAAGAACCTCTGGAAACCACTAGACGGTAGAAAAATAACATTTAAAAAAAATCAAGATGACAAATTTAGTTAAGCATGTAAAACAAGAGAGTAGTATTGTTGATGGTTGTCTGATGCAATACTAAGGAACTATCCAGGAAGCTGAATCTATTTTTTTGCCTTTATGGGGGGAAAATAGTCACAGGAATATCTCTCCTCCCTTCTATCTGGCCCACCTCTGCCTTATATCTGTCCCATCCTTTCACATAATCTTCCCCACTCTGCACCTTTCCCCAATCCCTGCACCACATCTTCCCCATTCTCCCCCTTCTATCTTTCTCATCCCTCCACATCATCATCTCCAACCCTCCCCTTTACCTGAGACACCCCCTCCCTTTTACCTCCTGAGGCACCCCCTTCCCTTTACCTGAGGCACCCTCCCCTTTACCTGAGGCACCCCTCCCCTTTACCTGAGGCACCTTCTCCCCTTTACCTGAGGCACACCCTCCCCTTTACCTGAGGCACACCCTCCCCTTTACCTGAGGCACCTTCTCCCCTTTACCTGAGGCACACCCTCCCCTTTACCTGAGGCACCTTCTACCCTTTACCTGAGGCACCCCTCCCCTTTACCTGAGACACCCTCTCCCCTTTACCTGAGGCACCCCTCCCCTTTACCTGAGACACCCTCTCCCCTTTACCTGAGGCACCCCTCCCCTTTACCTGAGACACCCTCTCCCCTT